GTTTCCCTGTGCAGCTGAGCTCTGGGAAATCTCTGAAGTGTGGACAGATATGTGAGGACTGTGGTGCTTGGCTGGGCATCCTCAGCCTGATTTCTTTTAACTGCCACATTTCTGCCCTGTGGCTGTAGATGTTATCAGAATGGTTTCAAGAATGTCTAACACACTTCTCACTCTCCTTTCGAATGCCACATTGCTTAGAAGGGACAATGCCTTGAAAAAAAAAAAAAACAAAGCTGCGATGAATACATAAAATTAGAGAATGTAAAAAAGTCTGAGTGTATTTATGTAGAGCAGTGGGGCGGTGGGTGGTGGGGTGGGTGGTTGGCAAACACCTGAAAGAAGTGACAATACAGATATATAGTTGGTTTTCCCTGTCCTCGGGTTTGGCACCTATGGACTCAACCAACCACTGTCTGGAAAGGCTTCTGTACTAACGGTGCAGACTTTTTGCTTGTCATTATTCCTAAGCAGCACAAGGACTATTTACAGAGCACTTACGCTGTGTCAGATATTGTAAGGAGGATAACTATGACTTGCAGTATGCAGGACCGTGCTGCTGCGGTTTTATGAAACGCTACGGTGTTTTCCAGACAGCACTTGCGCATTCACAGATACCAATTTCTACATGCGTCCTGAATTCGGTCTGGATACCTAGCATTAATCAAACGTTTCCCAAGTTTGAGAGATAAATCTGAGCATGTCCAGAGGGCATGTGATGACTTGAGAAATTAGAGAAGAAAGTTACATTGAAGAGTAAACTTCTGTGGTAAAACCACTGACTCACAAATTAGAAGTGTTTGGAAAGCTGCCCAGTCCCTTTCTCCTGATTGCTGCAGGGCTTTGGAAACTTCCTTTAAAAAGGGATAAACATGTCATTTGTTTTTCCTTCAGCCCTGGCTTTTAAGTTCTTAGGAATGGGGAGTAACAGACTGGGGGGTGGGGGACGGACTGTCCAAATCCTAGGCGCTCTTGCCCCGCCTTCTTTCCCAGTGCTACCTGGGTAAAGCAACTTGCTGGGCTCCGCCCCTCCAGGGAGGGAGGATGACAATCCCCCCTTCCCGTTAATTCTTCCAGGCTTGTTGGAAAGAGCCATTGGTTTATATTTTATTCCTCATGCCTTTGAGATCTGGGGATGAAATACTCTCTATAAACCACAAAGCCTATTACTATTTTAAGTACCTGCATCTTCCAGAAGGAACACGCCGGCTCCCTGCAGGAGAAATAAATGGAGTCGGCTTTCGGGCTGGCACACTGTCTTTAGCAGAAAATAAAGAAAGACACAGATTGTCCTGTTCTCTCCACTGTGGAAAATGTGTCTCGATGGAGTAAAACCGAACACATATTTCAGAGGAGGAACTTGTCACACACTGGAACACAAATCAGAGGCCTTTCCCAGGGCAGGGGTACGGAAGGGGTCAAAAGAAAAGAAAAGAAAAGAAAAAAGCAAGCTTTGAACACAAAAAGGAGTGATGATAAAATTCACTTTCAGGGATGTTATGGGAATAAACATGTTCTTTCTCTTGTTCTAGGGTGCTGTTTCATGGGTGCAAAGGAAAGGAACGGACCCTGGCTACACACCTTTCAGTCTCACCAGGTTCAGGTTGAGGAAGCACCTGGTACTTGCGAACAAAAAAGCAAGCAAAAATATTTTGTTCTATTTTCCCATTGTCATCTCCCTTTGAGATTTTTTTTTTTCGTCCCTCCCTTTGTGTTCTTGTCAGGACTGACAAGCATCCGTGTGTTACCAAGTAACATGAAGTTCTTGCTTGAATAATCATGAAGAAAATCCAGGGTATTTCAAAGCACGTTATTGACTCGGAGAACCACCCACTAGATTGAATTCCTCTGATTATCATTGATTGACAGCACCCTCTAGGTGCTGTTTTTTCACCAAATGGTCAGGTCTGTGATGCCCCTGCTTTGGCTCTGGCACTGGTGTCTTTGTCTCAGAGCTATTATGATGTTGGCTGTAGTCAGGAAGGTTTCTCTGCTTGATGATATAGAAAACCCCCTGTTCAAGTAAAGATCAACAGAACAATAACAACAAAAAACCCTCAGCAAAGGACAAGAAGAGAAACTAGCCCAGATTGTTTTTCTGTTTTCTTTTCCTCTGTATTAGTCATCCAGCCAGCCTTCAGCTTTCATAACAACAGTGCTGTCATTGGCTACAATATGGCAGAGCTCATGGCATGCTTAGAATGAATGGGGGGTACTTTATATAAGCAATGAAATTACGCTTCCCTCCTAGCCTGTGCAGAGGCCATTGAAAAGAGGGTAGCAACCTGTGATGGACTAACCAAGGGTTCCTTCTGTTGGGGCAGGCTGAACGTGAGGCCACTATTCCTCTTTATTCTTCTTGGTCCTAAGGGTTGAATCCAGAAATGCCATATGAAAGGGTAAAACATTGCATTCCACTTGGAAACAGGAAGGAGATCAGAGATTGAAGGCTTCCTTGGAAATAGTATTTGCACAGTGATCCCAGGATTTGTAACTGGGTACTAAGTTTTTCTGCCAAGTCTGGCCCGACAAATCATTTCTTCTGCATACTAACTAAACATTTGGCGAAGTCCTCAACTGTTTCCTGCAATGAGATTCCCTGTCTTCTTCTTCTTTTTAGATCTTAGGCATTTCCTTATTGTCTGTATTTTAAGCAAGGGGCAACGGATACAGCTTCACCACTCAGAGTGAGCAGTAAGGAGTCCAGCTTATATTTCTGGTTGTGAGCCTAGCCTTTAATGGCTGAGCCATCTCTCTAGCCCAATAGCTCCATCTTAAAAATAGGCACACATGTCTTCAGCCACTGGACAACTTAATAAAATGGAATGTCTCTCACTAAACACTGACAGAGAGTACTGTCCTGATTAGTTATTTATGATTTTTGGGTATCTCTTCTCCAAAGGGAAAACATGTTTCCCACCACAGTTTTACAGAGCTTTCTTAAAGGGTTGTGATATTATTATCTGAACATGAAACTAAGCTTCACACACAAAAAAAAATCTCTAAGATGCTGTTTTGCAAACAATTCCCATGAAGTTGTTGTGATCAATGAACAATGTCTCAGAAATACTTGGATTTTTTATAGCTCCTATATTTACTATGTATTCCTACAAAATGTGAGATTCTAATACACATGTGTTTTATTCACAAAACACATGGCAGCCTAGACACTAAATGTCCCCTGTGATTCCTTATTTTCAGCACCTTGGATGATCACAAATTCCAAATGTGATGTTGGCAAAATTAAAGGGTTGTTCTTGTGACACTGTTGAATGGGCCATCATCTCTGCTCCAGCTTGCTTTGGCATTTGCATGGATAGCACTGTCTGTTGAGACCTGTCTCCACATCAGAAGCTCACAGCTATGATAAATTGCCCATCCGTCTGCACGCTTTACATCATGCTTAGTTCCCTTAGTCATGTATGTGTGCTTGCTCACCATGTTTGTGTGTATACATTGTGTGTGTAGCCTCTACCTTCACCAAGATTCTGGACTATTGAATGTAGATACAGCCTTGGATCCAGGAGCAGCTATATGATTTATATAAACTGGAATCTGAAACTGTCATCATTTTTCACTGTCCCTGTATCCTCAGGTGAGGAAATGATGAGTTCTATAGACATATTCAAAATTTGTTTAGCAACACTCATATTGTCTTGGGTTCTCTCACATTCACAAACAGCTTTATGACAACTATGAAAAGCCACCCCATGACCTCATGTCTCTTAAAGCCTACAGTGGCTTTTCACTTACCAAGTTTACAATTTTATAACGCACATTTTGACTATTGTTAAGATGATTTCCTTTAACTTGAGTTTTCTAACCTTAAAATCCTCAACTTTCCTCACTCACTCAAAAACAAACAAAAACAAAACTAAACAACAAAAAAACCCATCCACCCATTATTGTGCATGGTATAGAGACTTGAATTGTAGATTCTGCCTCACATTGTAAGCTTTGAAAGTATAGACTGCAAAAACCATACCGTATACCAGTACATCACTGACTGAGAACAAGGTCATGACTGATTCAATGCTTTGGAAGATGATGATGAAAATGGCAATGAAAACACAATGCTGCTCTGGTTAGAAATGTCACATATGTAGTCCAGTACATCTTGTTAAAAACAATGTATGTTGGTTTTCATTCTATACAACTGACACTCTTTGTTAGCAAAAAATTAAATAAATAAATAAATAAATAGTATGGCAAATTATTAGTGTTGAGTACCTTGCCAAATAATTATAGTAGGAAGGTCTCAGTGAGCATAATGTGAATATCAGATCATTGAATCCAAGTTATGAGGCACGTGAAATGTCTACTAGGTCATGTATTTGCTGGTTTTCACTCTACAGATGGAATTTTATAACTGTCCTTCTATCAACGGCTTCCTCAAAGACAAAAATAGTTATCTCTCGGATGCAAAATGGGCTTCACACCGCCCAATGGGCAAAAAAGCCGAAGGACAGCAACAAGTCACTTCTAAAATGTCACCATATTCATCCCTAAAGATGCCATGCAATTTGCCATGGCCACGCCACATAAGTTAATTCTTCCTTGCTAATGAGCATTGAGGTTTGGGCTGTACTGAGAGCATTACTTCTACTGAGTCTTTTGGATTGAAAGATGGTTGCTAGGAAATGCTTATTTGGCTTTTCTCTTGGTGGGATAGAAAAATATGTGTTAAGTAAAAATATAATGTGTGGTGTACCTATGTCACTTAGGATGCAAGGCTTGTCCTATTGCCTGCTTTAAGGCTCAAATACAGACAAGGCTAAAATTGCACCATTTTCTCATCAAATTAAACATGTTCTTTTCAACTCTGCATCCTTTGTCTTTCCCATACCTTCTCTTATATCCATCATATTGTCTTTTCTGTCCATATTTTTTTAGAAATCAGTAGAGTACAATTAGTCCCTAAAATAAAGACGTCATTCAAGGAAGAAAGGAGAAGGAGGGATCCAATTAAAATGATGAAAATCTTTAATTTTTATTTAGGTATACTTGTTCGGACACGTGTATATACAAATACAGATTGTATGGATTTGCGTGTGTGTGTTTTTTTTTTTTTTTACATTTTCTTTTACGTTGATATAATGTAAGCATTTCAAAACAGCACTCGATGAGCAAGTGCTCGGGACTGCAAAGCAGGGTTACAAGCACAGGGCCACATGGAGCTGGACTTCACACCCAGACGCACACACAATGAGTGGCTTCAATGGGGTGTCAAGGGGTAAGCATGGAAAACGGATTTTGACTCATGGGTAACCTCCAACATGCCAGCATCTATTAAACTGTACACACAATGGGAGTGAGTCCATTGGAGGGAGATTTGTCTCACATCCGAGCAACTCTGGGCCAATGCATGGGAAAAACTCAGTGATGCCAAACCAGAGACAGACCTGCCCATTCACGGCTCTGGGGGGAAAACAGAACGTGGGAGGAAGGCAAGAGGGGGGGCAGGCAAACGGGGTGTTGGTGGAGGTGGTTTTCAAAGAAAAAGCTGGTGACCACAACTCTGAGAACAATGAATGGGAAGGAGTTTAAAACTTTTCCTAATTTTGTGAAACTAATAAAAATGGCTGCAGCCGTTGCTAAGGCACAGGAGAAAAACAGAGTCCCTGAAAGCCCACAGGTACTGTGGCTTTTCCTTTCACAAGGACACAGAGGGAACAGCCCCACTGAGCCTTCCTCTAGGGACTGGTCTGCAACCATCCTGAGTCTGAGCCGCACTTGGTAGTGACAAGACTTCCTGGGGGGAAATGACAAACAGAAAACCAAACCAAAGTACAGAACCAGAGTCCTCTAAGCCTTTTCAAACCATATGCTTGTGGTGGGGGACAGGACCACAGAGCCCTGACATCAGACCTTGGAAACACTGAGGACAAAGGATGAATCAGAGCAGTGCTGTTGTTTCTGGTCCCAAGACGATGGAGCTGTAAGACTGAGTGGACAATGTCCAGTATGGAGCAGTGTTCCAGTCACGTGTGACTTCTCAGCCATGTATACACTGGATGTTTCAAAGCCTCAATGCAAGTTTTGTATCCTGAAAGTCTATTGTTCTCACTTACAAAAGACATAAGAATCAAATTAATACTTTATTATCAAACACTATATACAACAGAGGTTGCTAATAATACAGAATTAAAGAACGCGTTATTTTTTTGTTTTTTTTTTTTTAACATTTTAACTTTTCTTTCCTCTGCCACCCAAGAAAGTACAGTACAAAACAATAGTCTAAAACTAACACGGACTGTTACCTGGTCTATTAAAGGATACACAGTATCCACTAAACAGACAGATCTTTATTCCCTGCGTCATGTTGCAAAGCCCTTGGCAACCAGGGGCAAAGGTCGCTGGGGTTTGACCAAATGGGGCTGATGGGGACTCCAGGGCTTCCCTTCATGCTTTTGAATTGTTTTTTTTCTTTTAAATTAAACCCACCACTAAGATGCACCCGACATCCTAAGCCCACAGAGGGTTGTAGCAAACACCACAAAAGGCCACCAGCACATTTTGGACAAGATAAAAACTGCCTGACACCAATCGTCTTGAAAACTCCACACAAGTGCATTAGCTACAATTATGTCACTTACAGGTAGAGAAGCAATTGTCTACTGGTGTGGATAGTTCTGTTGTATTTTTTTTTGTTGTTTTTTGTTTTTTTTTTTTTTAAACTTAATCTGCGGTGGCATGACAGTGAAGCAAAAGGGTCTAATTGCACAGTGAAAATGAAAGACAATGGCAGAGAGGGCCATGAGTAATTATTTCGCCATTTGTTAGAGACAAATGCTAGAAGAACCACAGAATTCACCATTTCTAAGATGACATTAGAACTGCTAATGTCGTTAGGACTAACTGGAATTATTACAGGATCACTTGATTTCCTTGACTGTAGTACATGCAGTATTATTTTGGTTCTATGGATCCATCTTAGAAGGGATTTTTTTTGTTCCCTTACTGAAATCCCACTAACCCACAAACCTGTAACTATTAATAAAAAGCGTATATCTGGATATTACTGAGAGTGTTGAGCATATAAATAAAGGTAAAGGAATTCAATGCTTTGAAGTTTGGTTTCAGTGAAACGGTGGGTGCCTCTGAAATGAAACTCTGCTACTCCAGATTAGCCTCTGATGTGGGATGAGGAGGACTGACGATATCTTTGAGGCTGGCAACCCCACTCACGTGGTTCAAGCGAGAGCAGACTCCAGTCGTCTCCACTCCAAAGGGACCAGGTAAGCCCAGCTCACATTCCAAATGTGTGTACAACTCTCTAGGGTGCAGGACGGTCACAGCTGCCTCCCACTCACATATGTTTCTAATTTGAAACTACTCACAATTCTAAGCAATTTCCCATTCATGAAGTCCATCTACCACATGAACTCCTCTTTTTTTTTTTTACACATACATCATAAAAACGAATATATAAAAACATTCTTTTTTTCTGGAATGCTTTCAATTTCCCATATTTTGTGATCATTGCATTTACTGACTTGCTTGTTTGCAAAGGCGTGACTTCTACCGATGTCGTGCAATAGCAAAACAGGGCTAGATCACCTTTCCATTGGGCGGACAATTTCCCCTGCCTAGGCTTTGGGATTTCAAATTCAAGATACACCACCAGGAGAAACCCCACAGCCTGTGTTTCCGTAATCAGCTGGGACCACCCCTTGGCCATGCTAAGGTTCAGTTAAACAGGGTCATCCTTTGTTCATTCTCCTTCTGCCCCAACCCTACTGTGAAACAAGATAACCCCCATGTTTCTAAATGTATTGAGGGATACCACTTTTTTCTCACAAGTTTAAATAGGACAAGCATATATACTCACTCTCAGCATAAAGTATATCTAAATAATGTATTTTCTATTCTAGTGGATTTTTAAAAAAATATTTTGTCAAAGTCTTTGGGACTCCATCTTGTTTATCTCCCACAGATAAACACATGTTCCCCCTACGCTTTAGGCTGTGTCAGAAAGGGAAAGAATATAAAAATCAACGCTTGAATTTTTATTCCAAACTTTGGAATTTTTATTCCAAATTTCCCTTTAGCCCTCCAAAGTAGTGCTGACTGACTCTCCTGGTGACAGGGGTTTGTGTCTGAGTCCCCTGTGATCATGGGGGCAGAATGTGGGCATCGGGGTGGGAGTTGGGGAAAGGCCACAGCACACTGGAGCTCCAGCAAAGCCAAATCGCATCTCCTCTGGCCACAGACTTCCTTTCCTTGTACATATTGTCCCCAGAGGGGCAGTCAAAGCTATTCCACTCTCTACTCATCAACCCTGGCTTGTCAGCCTCGGGGAAGGTCACTTTATTCATAAAAATGCCTCTTTGAACTCCTAAAAAGAAAAAGAAAAGTTGTAGCACCATGGTGATCTGTATTCAAAGGAAAAAAAATCATCAGGTGTGCACAGCCTGATCACTAAAACGATGAGGCACTCACACCCCTAGCAACTGAGTTTTCTCAGTATACATATCTTCTGTATTGCCATCCCTGCATCCAACCCTCCTTCTGGGAGAAAAAGCTTCTTCGACACAGCTTGAGTTTTGCCGGCAAGAACGCCTTAAGACAGTCATAGCTGATAAAACAAAAACTTGTATCTGGGCCTTTGAGAAGCCTGCTTGCTTCTACACTCCTAGAGGATATGCTGGACTAGTATGTCTTTTCTGAATTCCTTTGCCCCTCTGGACCTCGAATGCCACCATAATGTGCCACACAACCACCATACTGTCCTGAACGAGAAGGCATAAGTACTGCAGGAGAGGGGCACCCTCTCAGGCTGGCCATTGCTGGCACCATCTACCACGACTCTTCCTTGTCTGCATACTGTCGACACCCCGAGCTTACAGAGGTGAGTTCTAGAGAACGCACAGGGGGTGAAGACCCACTGGTGTCGCTATGACAATTTGGCATTTTCATCTGGAGTCCATTGAATTTGGAAGGGGTGAGAGAAGTCAAGGACCAGGGCTGGGGATAGGGTGGGGTGAAGGAGGGCAGCGGCTAGTTTAGCCCCCCGCAACAACCCCAGGTTGCTGCTTAGAAATCAGGCTGAAGGAAAGAAAACAAAAATTCTGACATCTGCCAAAAAACCAATAACAAGTCCCTTCTTGGGATGAGCAGTTGGGTGGATCTCTGGTGTTCCAAGACCCTGATGTTTTCTGTGACAGGTGACGAGAGGAGGCTGTGCTATAATGTCAAAAGCATCGCCAGGAGGAACAGTAGGATTGCCAAAAGGCGGCTGGGTATCCTTGGTGTTTGTGCCGCGTTCTCACCGCGGGATGGCTCGGCTGACTCATGTACGGTATCATCTGTTCAAATAGAAAGCACACATTCCAATGAGATTTCACATCCTTAATAACTCTCGAAGCAGCAGCAGCCTGCTGTTAACAGATCTCGCCACCCTCTGCAAAGTAGGGTAATGAACCCTGTGCCACCATTGACTTTCATGTCTGCATAATCACTCATTATTTACAGCAAACAAAGGAGAGGCAGGGAAAATTGGACTTCCTTCACAATATTTATACTGTCTCTTAACACTGAGGGGGGAAACTGGGCATACAGTGTAATATTTGCTGCATAAGCTCCTTTGACTCGCTACCAGTTGGACGGACTTTGCACAGAACTTGAGATAGGAAAAGTACCTTTAGGTCTGCAGGGCTGCGGGCAAGGAAAGCGACATATTGGGGGGGGGAAGGGGAAGAGTTATGTGGGCATATTAGTGGTTAAGCAGGCAGGGCTGCTCATTTCTTTGTCGTAGGCATTTCACGGGATTAGCAGTGAATGTTCGGTTTGTTCGGTGCCTACGTGTATTTTCAAATGTGAAAAATTGAATGCCAAAACAACAGTATTTTAAGTAAACTATATATTAATACCCAGTAAACTTCAGAAATCCTGTACCCACTGGGCTGCCTACAATTAGGAATCAATTATGGTGCTATTTCCATTACAGGCCCTGCATCTCCCAGATTAAATTACTTGAACTTGACTATTCTTATTTGTATCAGGCTGAAGCTCAGCACATAAATTATCAGTGTGGATGCAAATTTTCCTCTAAATAAAATGGATTAAGTGAGTTAAGCCTCTTTTATTTAGCTATAAAGTGTTCTACGAGGCTGCCTCTGACTTTGGATGGATGTCTCCCTGATCTGCATGATTAACAGGCTTAACTTGGAAATGGGAACTTTGCAGTAATTAGTGCCCGAAGATAGACTGGAGGCTTGCCCGTGAGCCATGCTATTCTCTAATGTGGCCGTCTCCTTCCTCCCATCTGGCCCAGCTTATGCTTTTAGCCCAGATGACCTCTGCACATGTTTCTGGAGCTGACAGTTGGCCTCTGAGCAGATTTGATTTCAGCATCAGGGGGACTTCCCATGGGGACACAAGAATTGCTACTTGGGAATCGCTGACTGGTTAATCAGAGAGAACAGTAACAAGTGAGACTCCTGTAATTGTCCTCAATTATGAAGACCTCAGAAGACAATCCCTAACATCCGTCACTGACCTACTTGCTGTCTCTTAAGAGGTTAATTGTCATTATCTTAACCTCATGCATAGTCACCTACCACACATGCCATATTAAGGGTACTTTTTCCTCACAGGGAGAGTCACACATTCTATTATTTGTCCTAAAGGAACTCTTTTTGCCTCACACTTGGAACTTTCTGTTCATCTCATTCATGTCCCCTGTGAACTAAGAAACAGGTCTTCTCAGAATTAAGTCTTCTGCCCCTGAGGGCTCTTACTTCAGCAGGTCTTCATCTAGAAGCCCCTACAGCCCTTTGTTTAATTTGTTCTCCTTTCCTGGACTTTTGCAAACCTGGATAGATTGCTTTTAGCTTAGGAGACTAGAAAAGGTTAGGAAGCAAGGATGGGAAGGCAAATCCCGCACAGTGTAGCCAAGTACGTGTGGGGGGCCCTCATCTTTTCTTTGCTCTTTTCAGCCTTGCTAATGCATTAATTAAATCTGTAGTTAACAGGAGGCAGAAGTAAAGGCCCTTAATAGCCCTGAAATTAAAATCCAAATCACATTCTTAAGAACACCAATATGGTGTCAATCAAAACAATGGAGCACTTCAGGCTTAATTATAAAAGAACCATAAACCCCGAGGATTCCACGGCTCATTTTGAAACATCACTTATATTTATACACCTGAAATTACATCACCTACTGGGGTCTTCTCCACCCTTTTCTCAATAACACATTACTCAGTCGTCTTTCACCTTGTGAAGCTTGGAAATGTATTGTTAAAAGATACCCAAGCTGCATTGCAGACCATGGCTTCCCTGCTACCCACTCCTTCCAGAGGCCCAGCAAACGTTATCCACTCCTTCAGGCTCACTCAGCACAAGGCACAGGGAAAGAACCTTGAAGAATAACTGACTTTACCAAGAGGGAAGACTTTGATTTTCTTCTAAGTGAAGCATAAGTTTGAATGTACCTTTCAAACCTTGCATCACAGATAACTTTCTGGCATTACCACTTCTGTGAACTGTGTTGTCCATTATTTTAACCGTGTGTGTGTGTGTGTGTGTGTGTGTGTGTGTGTGTGTGTGTGTGTGTATTCGCCTACCATACATGTCACGATAAGGGAACCTTTTCTTTTCTTACTGGGGAAAATCATGCTCCCCTGGGTTTCCCTTGGTCCTACAACATGATGTTCACGAGTCAGGATTCTACAAGCCATGCTTTGACTAAAACAGTCTTGGATGGGAAATTCTGTGTGTCACCACCCCTACCCATTAACTACCCATGCCAGCTAATGAAAAACTGATTATCATTTAGATAATTTGGGGAAATTTCAGAATTTTAACTTGAAACTCTGCCCCAATGGAAATTAAACCTCCATGTAAGACATTACTAATGCATGTAATAGTGAGTGTGCCTTTAGTGGAAGGAAAAGTCCCTCTGTATAGAGAAGCCAAATTGAATCTTGCCTTAGTTACAGGGTTCCACCACACAGGAGTTTCAGTGGTTAACTGAGAACACTAATGGTATTTGGGAGCATGTAGCGTGGAATATGTCTGCCCTGAGATTGATTATCCTGCATCCCTGAAGTTAGGAAACTGGCAGGCAGAGTGTGCAAGCAAACAAAAGGACAAACGCATTCCACAGACAGGTGAATTAGTACACATTGCTGAGAACATGCAGCAGTATCCTTGCAGGCTCACTGGATCGGATCGCTAGAGCCTGCATGTTCATCTAGGGCTGGCTAAAGGACAGCATTTGTTAAATCCCACAATCACCTTAGTGGGAAACAACTTCAAGTGTGACTGACTAAATTCTCTAGGGAACAAAGGGAACACTCCACTCTGTTGCCACATTCATATTGCAGGTACCTTGACTCAACTCCCCTCTTACCATGTCAGTGAGGATGCTTGCCAGCACTCTCTCTCTCTCTCTCTCTCTCTCTCTCTCTCTCTCTCTCTCTCTCTCTCTCTCACACACACACACACACACACACACACACTCTCTC